GTCTAAGACCCCTGCTGATATGCTATGATATAAGATCTCAGTAATAGCTGAGTTACTTCCTCTGGCTATGCAGCTAAAGATCCCATTGACATGTGGACACAAACACCACGGCAGCTGAAGGACAGCTCGTGAAACCCACTCATCTCACTGCCTATGGCAGATGGGGCAGCTCTTAGTTCATTGTACTCCACTCTACTTTTTACAGTCTACTTTAAACCACCATTGAACAAATAAGAAACATCTGAGCTTTTGAGCCAAGCCTAATTTAAATCCAACCAACCCTTAAAAGAACAATTCTAATAATTTCTGTCTTTTAATTTAAAAATGCTTGATTAATAAAAAACATATTAAATACCATTTCTATTCACGTCTGCCTGTGGTGCGCTGGCTCTTTATTCTAGCCTGGGTTGGAGCTGCTGTAGTTCCTTTAGCTGACTGTGTAGGGCCAGTGTTCCCTCGATGGGTGAGTCTGCTGGTTCCTCTCTCTCGTCTCTGTGCAGAAATGCTCACAGTGACCTGGCAGCCTATAGGACTGAAGTGAGCTTGGAATGTTAGCGCAGAGTCATAGGAACTAACCCTGGGTTGATCAAGGTGGCTAAATGGGGCATCCAAATTCCTACACCCCCAAACAGCCTACATCTCCAAACAGCCTACACCCCCAAACAGCCTACATCTCCAAACAGCCTACACCCCCAAGCAGCCTACACCCCCAAACAGCCTACAACCCCAAACAGCCTACACCCCCAAACAGCTTACATCCCCAAACAGCCTACATCCCCAAACAGCCTACAACCCCAAACAGCCTACACCCCCAAACAGCCCACATCTCCAAACAGCCCACATCTCCAAACAGCCTACACCCCCAAACAGCCTACACCTCCAAAAAGCCAACATCTCCAAACAGCCTACACCCCCAAACAGCCTACACCCCCAAATCCAAGGTTTATTGAAGGTGCCGTATTTAAATGCTACTTGAATTGTTCTTCAGACATTCATGCTAAGTGATGGTAAAGAGAAAAAACATATACCAAAAAGGATCTGTTCTTTAAATTATTAAGTTACTTTATCATTTGGCGCTCTGAACACCTTTGTACCTCCAGGTGAGCTTTGAGATTATAAACCTAGTGCGTTTCAGAGATATTTCACAGGACGTGAATGAGGTTCACTGTGTACGACTGAAGCTACATGAATATGAATCTGCAGAAGGACATGAAAACCTATATGTAAAGTTGATTCAGTTGACTGTAGTAAAGATATTGTTTCTTGGGTTACATATTCTCAAAACGAAAGCACCTGTGTTAGCACACAGACAAATTGAAACTGAAACCTCAGAAAAGTATCCCTAAAAAGCACTATTATTTATTGACAAAAAAGATTGCGTTATTAATGTCAATATAAAATAAGCATCATATAAACCTGCATGCATCTGGTGACCTCAAAGGCAATGTAGCAATAAATTGACTAAATATTTCTGTCAGGTAGTTAAATATTCCAAAGTGCCTAACGCCAGACCCCAACACAGATGATTAGTAAATGGTGTAAATATATTTTCACTGATTCTGTAATGTTGTGCTCAGTGTCTTGCATCATCACATAAACCACGAATAGTGAAAAGACCAGTGTCTGTTTCTTTATAATATATTAGGTTTAAAATGCATATTCTGTGTTTATTTAATTATTCATAATGTTTCTGGGCTTATGCTCACCATGAAAATTACATTTTTAAATTAAGTTAATCTGCGTTTGCTGTAGCATCTCAAGCTGCCTTTTCAATTTATTTTTGCAGTCAACATCCAGTCCTACTACAGCTCAACAGAGGCTCCTATCCATCACCGCTCTCAGCATTTTTTATTGATCAATTATTTACTGAGTCATTTACCATTTTATGATCCCTTTCATTTCCATATATGAAATGTACATGCATGTTTCCTCCATAGATCAGCTCACTAGGGTACAGTCAAGCTGTCCATATCATAGCATAAGTCAGTCATACCCCCTGCTAGATTTACCTTACCATACCAACATCGGAGGTCCAGTACCACAAGCTTATACTTGTAGTTTCAGCCATTAAAACGCTGTGAAATAGAATGTATTATTTTTTTTTTTTTTTTTTTTTTTTTTTTTTTTAGAATAGAATAGAATGTATGTTATAGAATGTGTTATTTAGGCAGTTACTATTGTGGTATCTAAAAAAATTAGGAAAATCTTTTTCTGTATCTTCTGTTCTTATACCTAGTTTTAGTTTACAACGGCAGTGTGTTCGACAGAAGAAAAATGGACATAATCACATTTAGGTCAACTTTTATTTACTGCTTATATCAGGTTTTAGGGTGTCCAGTGACCATGAAATACTCTATGTTACTCTGAGGCACTGTGTGTGCACACACAGGTTTTAGGGTATCCAGTGACTGTGATGTTTGGTGTGTTACTCTGAGGCACTGTGTACACATGCAGTTTTTAGGGTATCCAGTGACCATGAAATACGCTATGTTACTCTGAGGCACTGTGTGTGCACACACAGGTTTTAGGGTATCCAGTGACCATGAAATATGGTGTGTACACCATGGGCGTCGCCGCCATTAAATCTGAGGGGGACGTGTCCCCCTCACATTTCATAATTATTCATTTGGACCCCCCCACATTTAACATAAAATATTAGTTTTATGCCAGTGTGTCCCCCCACATTCAAAATTCTTCGGACGCCCCTGGTGTACACATACGGTTTTTAAGGTATCCAGTGACCATGAAGTACGGTGTGTTACTCTGAGGGACTGTGTGTGCACATACGTGCCCTGGACTGAAGATAAATATAAATACAGATTGAAAGACCATTGACAGTGAGGTGATTAATAGACATAAGAAAAAATACATAAAATTTTACTAAACCTATGCAGAAATTATTAATATCATGTCAATCATGAAAGCCTTAATATATGCACATTTGGTGTATGATGAGGATATTGTACTTTATTTGAGCTACAGCCAAAGCAGACATTGTCTTTAAGCTTTAAGAAGACCTAGCTAGAAACCCGGTTTAACTAACTTCAGGAATCTATAGCTAATACAAAACAGATGATGGGCAGAAAGGTAGCTGACATCAGCTAAATGCTGTATCAAAGAGAAAAATGAAAAATATTTTCGGCATGACAGCGTTAGCGTAGCATGCTGGCTCAGAAGGTGACACTGGAGCCTCGTAAGGTGACAGTCCCCTAGCCAGTTGTTTGTGTAGCATTTGCATGTTATTCCCGTGTTTGTGTGTCATTTTGGTGGGTTTATCCCATGGTCCAAAAACCATGTTAGTTAGGCAAAATGTTTTCTAAATCTGAAACACAATGATGTGTGTTTGTGCCTTGTGACAGACTGGCATCCCAACAAGGGGGTCCCTAACTTCATGGTCTACTGTAGGCTCCAGGCTCTATTTCCTGGATGCTAAGGTCCTAAAGATCTGAATTGCTGCAGCACATATAATGTTATTGCAAGGATGGCTTCACAAATCTCTTGGAGATGTCGCAAGCGGGTATGCAAATTTGAGTAGATGGGTGAGTCATTTATTGCACATTTAAGGCCAGGTTAACCACAGTCTCCCAGCTATAAATTTATGACACTCATCAGCTAATTGCAGTTTTCGTTTTTTCCTGTCATGAATATCCTTGCATGACACTACTAGAGAGGATAAAACTGTTTTAACTATTGAGGTTCTTCAAATCACATTCAAGCATGCCTGACAGTGGAGATAACGAGCTTAGTCAAGAACCTTACTCATACTTTTGTCCCCAGCATGAGCCACATGAGAAAGAACCTGTGCAGGATTGTGACAATGTCAGTTAAATGAACCTTTTAGCCGTCAAATGAAATCCAGTTTCCCAGTCTGGGTGGTCCTAGTACACTGGACTAGAGTGTGAATTGGCTCTTATCACAGAATAAATGAATACCACTGGAATCCTGCAAGGCCAACAGTCTTAATCTCCCATGCTTAAATGTTTTGTTTCTAGAAATTTCTTTCTTTAATCACAAACAGTCCCTGACCCGCAGGAGAGGGTTAAGGTGAGCCAATTGGGCGAATAATGAGTTCAATTAGGAGATTTGGGACTCATGCAGGATTAAAACCAGAAGATGTTGCTATCTGCACAAATGCTGAGAAAGGCAGAGACTGATGGATGCCGGCCAATAGCAGGACTCAAAGGTCTCAATAGCGAAGTAGCTCGGCTGTGGAACAGCGACCAGGAATGATAACATTTGATGAACCTCCAGTAGGTCAGTAAATTCCATGCCCCCCCCCCCCACTGAAAACAGACGGCATGTGCCACGAAAATTCACTCACAGGATTAACAGGGTTAAAAACTATTCTTTTTCACACTTAGTAAAATAATAAATAGCTTGAAATTATTATCAGCTGCCCTGGCAAGCAAATGGGACATGAAATTGCACAAAGTTAACTGGCCTCATAAATAAATCTTTCCTAAATAAGCCTGCTTTGCATCCCCCATCCCATCCCATACATACATTCTCGCCTGAACTAAGCAGAAAACAAACAAACAAACCAGGGCTCCTTGTATACTGAAGAGTCGTCGTCTATCCTTTTTGCTCATTACAAATCTCATTTGCTTCCTTATACAGCTCTATGTGGTATGCGTGAGGGGGGGGGGGTTGCTTTTTAATGTCCTGCTGGCTGATTTACACTGCAGTAATCTCTGGCTGATTTACTTTCCTGAATATTTATTAAAAAAATATCCACTGATTAAGTTTAACCTTGAAAGACCTGCTGAGGTGGCTTTACATTTAAGGCATCAAGCAGAGTGCCACTGTACCATCAGTAACAGCTTGTTTTATTTATTCCTTGGAAGGAAAAAAAATTATATGTGCCGTGTCAGAAATTTTGAGTAAACTGATATAATTATTAGCTTTTCACAAATTACATATCACCACTGAGTAACTCCACTTGTTACACACACAACATACATTAACACACAATAAATAAGATATAGACCAATACCATTGAATGGTTTTCATTGAATGCATTTTAATTAAACAACAAAATTTAAAAGAACAAACTCTAAGAGCCTAACAATGCAAATAAGTTAAAAATTAATCATCACTTAGTGATAACAAAGATGAATTTGATTTCCATAGATAACAAAAGGACTGATCCACATAAAATAATGTTTATTCACATTGTCAATAATCATACTTATGAAAACTTTGATGACAATGATGGTGATAGAACTGATCCTGATGGAAGCAATCATGGTATACTGTTGTACTGAAGCAGGCTGTTGTGCTTTATTTGTGAAGCAATACAATAAATGATAACCCCAGAACTAAACACATCACCGCTAAGTGGCTACAAGAGATGAAACGGTCAATTTGAGTTGGGTCTCTCAGTACTGCTTCCCAGAATATTATTAAAATAAGCTGCTATTGACTGGTTAGAAAGGCTCAATTTTTCAATCATCTGACTGGTATGTTGTACAGGCATGTATGGAGGTCCTCTCTGTTCTGTTTCAGTATTAATTATGTCAGGTACACAACATACATCCAATATAATTCCCTCTTTATGGTGTATTCCTTTAGTTATCTTTTGTTTATACAACATATACAACATATTTACTTCCAGGCTGCATAATGACATAGAGAATTCAAAAGTTCTTGGTTTAGGCATTTTCCCATGTTTACACATTTTTGGGTCGAGACAAACAAATTCTGGAATGAAGGACCTGTGCCCATATGTGCCAATGCTCTGAGGCTCTAATCCCTCGCATTTCATTCCCACATGACTCAAAGCAAATCTTGCACTGCAGGACGGCAGTCTGCTCCAATTACATCTCGCCACATCATAAAGGAAGCAAGTTTCTTCCTTTAGGAGCCGGAGACGACGGAGACAGAGAGCGTAATTGTATGTGACCCTGACACTGCGCTCATCAGGAGGGTGCTGCAGTGTTGGTGTCCTGCTGCTCTGCCCCTCCTCCTGTAGCGAGGCAGGAGGCGGAGGACTGGCAGAGAGCACGGGGCAGCATGGGAGCTTACAGCAGGTTAGGCGCCCTCCACAGCTCCACAGCCTGTCATCCATAAGCACTGGTGTATGTGCCTGCTTGGTATCCCCCCCCCCCCCACTCACACCATTTTACTTTACTGCAATTTGGGCAGAATTGGGGTGAGGTGACATTCATCAGCACTGTTTGTCTGCTCTGCATGTGGGACCATGGGGGGTGTGTGGAGTTGCCGGGATACTAATAGCCTGTCTGGACTCTACTGGCCTAAGTGCCGGGTGACTGACAGGTAAGACTGCAGGATGCAGCCCAGTGGATGCACACGTCTCTCACAAACCATACAGAGAAACTGGCATGTGACAGGAACCTGACTTAGAGGCTTCTCCGGTAACCCTACTGCTAGGAAACACGGGTCAAGATCAGAAATAAAAAGGCAGTTTGATTCAGGAAAAGGGAACAACTTCCTTTTCTGAAAGGTACTGAAATAGTTCGAAGGCGAAATGTAAAAAAAAAAAAATAAGCAAAGAACCCTACAAGGTCAGTACTAAACAGCCCGTGGCGTTTAGACTTCAGAGAAAAGGACGGCTAATGAATAGCAACGAGAGAAGCTTGCAATCTATGTCAATTCTCATTCTATTTAGATCACAGCTAGATGCTTTTGGAACAACAACATCAGAATTTCTACATAAATGACTGTCATTTTCCATGCGTGTTTTATTAGTAGCCAGACGTGTGTGGCTTTTGTAAGGCCTCTCATTGAAACGGATGGAAAAGATGGACCTCCATACTAAGGGTGAGCCTAGTCCCTAACCTGGTAACATTTTGAGCTTTTTCTTTTCATTTCAAGACAATTAAACACAAATAACCCCCTCAGTAATATTTTCGTCAAAAGTACTTCAGTCGTAGTGTAGATGTACAGTTGTCTATAGATGCCGAAACGTTTTTGGAAAACAGTGAAATATAATTAAGTGATTCCTTGTCATAGTAGTACTGATGCGGTGAGCAGTGTTTGTGCTGAATGGATCCAGGTAAGCCTAGATCAATGGTTCTCAAACTTTTTGTCCCTGTAAGCCCAAAGAGAAAAAGTGATATACAGCCATGGAAAAAATTAAGAGACCACTCTATATTTGTAATATAATTTGCATTTCTAAATACTGGTTTAATCGTTCTGTTGCTGGCAGAAGGCTATGCTGAGCAGCAGGTTGCTTCCAGGTGCAAAATTTCTAAGACAGTAGAACCCAAGAACAATTTGAGGAGATACTGGGAATGACCAGAAACCAGGCAGGTAAAGGGTGGAAGTGACTTTCTAATGCCAGAGATGGCCAACTTATCCAACAGTGGATGACATCAAGTGTCCTTAAAAAGGAATGGGAAACATTAAGTGCAGGTGAGAGGTGCACTGCTAGGACAGTTTGTATCAGGCTGATAGAAGCAGAACTGATTTCCCATAAAGCAAGGAAGAAGCCCTTCATTAATGAGAAGCCGGGAAGAACCAGGCTGCAGTTGGCAAAAAATAAAATAAAAATATTCACAGATGCACACCCATGGTCTCTTAATTTTTTCCATGGCTGTATTTATGACCCCCCAGATAGACATTCCACTGATTAAATGATATCTAGCATAGCTGGCTGCTTTTTCAAATATGCTGCAGAATTATTTTAAACCAGCTGTAGACCATCAAGGGATACATTAGTGACTCATATATTTAAAAATATATGAAATACATTTAAATTGTAGTTTTACGCATAATTTGTAATATTTCCTGCATAATCTGCTATGCTGTTATTAGACACTGGCAGTGAATGGAACATGTCTCTTTTTTAAGAAACATGATATAAAGGATGTCACCAACACATCCAATTATATGTAAATTATGAGAGGCTTATTTTCACCCAGTGTGACATGGCAGACAAGCCATTGCTGATTTCTTGTAGGTCAGCCACAGCTGTCTGGGAAGTCAATCTTTAGCGTTATTGAACTGCACTGTTGACTCCGTCACAAGGTCACCAAATCACAAAGGCAGAGTAGTACACCATTACGAGATGCAGTCATTTTAGAATATGCAGTCACATTTTTGGTTTCTTTTTTTATTATCTTATCAAATTATGGTGGACTATTTTCAAAAAAAGAAAATAAAAATGACACCGTTGCATGTGTTTCCTGGCAATATCGTAGTCAAATAAAAATCACTCAATGCGTATTCCAGAAATGGACGATAAATATTGAAGTTTGCAGCATTAGTATTGTTATTAATAAGATCCATACCTTAACATGAGGTTGTGACCTAGTTTGAGAACCACTAATACTGAAGTTCTGCATATGGTTTCACTCTGAAACTGGGTTTATTTCCTCTCCATTCACATTTCCACTATGATTTATTAAGTCACTGCACCGCAGTGCTTAATGACAGCACGGAAAGGCAGTGGCCCTATTTAGTAAAATCTCTCATTTGATAAGACGACGACCTAAACCCAGAGTCAAGGAAAGGAATCTTAATTTAATTACCACTTTTAAAAGCCATTTTTTCATGATTTTATAAATAAGAAACGATTGTAATCTCAGGGATAAATATTATTACGTAGGCAGCATATCAGTGTGCCAAATTGCGATTATGTATTTTCACAGTTTCCCTGATTTAAAAGCAATGTCTTGGTATGTCATGTATGCCAGGCTGTGAACTTTAAAACAATGAAAGAGATATGATTTAGTATTTTTCCGTGATTCTGATCACTGACACACATGTGTCATGATAGATGAGGGCATGAAAAGGTAGCAGCTGACTCTGGATAACCAATCAGAGCAGGATCTGAAAGACCCTTTCTTTCACTCATGTAGGCAAGTCTAACATTGATTCATACACACAGTTATACTTATAATATAAATATATTTATAGAGAGAGAGCCTATCATCTGTGATTGGCTCAAAATGGCGATTGTCAACATCTGCAGCCGATGTATCTTTTATTTCTTATTTAAATTCTTTTGGATTTAATTCTGTTCATTTGTATTCTCTTTGGAAAAGTATATAGATAGAACTGGTAATATACAGCATTACATGGGTTATTTAATATCCTCAGTAACTACCTCTTTTTCCTGTTATATTTAGATTTTTCCCTTTAAATATCTCTCATTTCCAGGACAACTACCACACACTGAAAACCAATAGTAGACAAAAATAGAAATAACACAACAACAGCAACTGTAATAACAATAATAATAACAATAACAATTATAATCATGGATAAAGATAGTAATAAATAGGGATGTGGAGTTAAGTGTGGGTAGATGTGGTAAAATTGGAAAGCGTGGGATCAAGCTGGAGTGAAAAAGAGCAAAGAGACAGGGAGAGCGACGGCAATAGAACCAGCACACATAATTGGCCAGACTGTTTGCTCACTGGGTCCTGTGTCCTCAGCGTTCACGTTAAATGCCTCTTTCTGCTGTAAACTCTTGGGTGATCTGGTGGCAAAGAGAAAACTGTCCTGGGCAACAAGGAGCGAGCGGCAGAGGCAATCTGGAGGAAGAAGTACTTGGTCACATGTGAGGAACCACGTCCCCTTAAGTAGATATTACTCATGTTTTCTCCATACACATCCTCGTGAAGCATCTCCACTGGGTTTGTCTCTTAGTAGCTCTTTGCAATGGTGAGCAAAGTGAATGAATCCCAGGGTTTGAAGGAGATACTGGAAATACAGCAGGACACAGCAGGTTTTCACACTGGACATTTGGAGCTGAGAGAGACAGAGCCTGTTTGGGGGACAGGCGGGAGTGAAGCGTGAAGTTTGTCACTGAAATGGATCCTTATAAAGTGCAGGATGTAGGGAAAGGTTAGAAGCCTATCTGAATGTAAGTGCTTCAGGTCACTCCTCTTCCTATGCATACAGTATTGGGCAGTGTTTCCCAACTTGGCCCTCAGGGACTCCTGGGAGCTGGAAGGGAGCAAAAATGTGGACTGACTGGCAGGGAACTAGGAGGGAGCAAAAACATGGACTGTTTGGGGGGTACCTGAGGACGAGGCTGGGAAACAATGGAATAGAGGTTGATGGGCAATTGGATGGTGTACAGAGTAGAGATGAAGGTCTTTTTATTTTCCAAACACTGTCAAGCTTGATTGTGGGCTTTGGAAAACCTGTTATCTAACTCTTGACTTTATCCAGAAAGACCCATCACCGTGTCCCTGTATAGCAGGGTTATTCAACTCACGGTCCTCGAGGTCCGAGCACTGCTGGTTTTCCAGCCTTCCTTTACCTGTCAGTCAGGTGTGAAGCCTCTGACCAATCAGAAGCAGTAATTATTAAACAACTACCTGGGAGAACTGAAAACACGGCCTGGATTTGGAATCGAGGTCCAGAGTTGAAGAACCCTGCTGTATAGTATTGAAATCACTGCAGGTACAACTTACTGAAATGTTTCGCTTGTGTTTTTCGTATTTTTTTTTTTTAAGTCTAAACGTGTGCAACCTTAAGATATCTCTAAATGTTACGGCCAGCAGAAAACTGCGGCAGATGCCTGAAAAAGGGGGGACTTTTCAGTATTATCTTGAGCAGGTCTACCTGAATATCCTGTTCCAGTCAAACACTGAGTTGGGGTAATGGCTGTCTTGGTGAACATAGTAAAAGGATCAGAAGATGAGAAACGGCTACTGGTAAGTTGTTCAGGAATTCAGCACATTTTTACTATGCTCCCACTCCAAATGCATGGTAATACAGCCATTCGTCTACCCAGCTTTCTCCATCACACACGACTCCACAGTTTATCTTCTGAGGTATCACTCTTCCTCCATAATGGTGACTCTGTGAGCCTCTCCGCATGTCTGCTTGTCACCCATCTCTCTGAGCATCTCCTAAGGTCTCTGCACCCACCACCACTGTCAAACTCAACATGGAAACCCTGTTTTGTCTTGCAGTTCCCTGTCCCTTGGTAAATTTCTGCTGCATTATCTCTGATGCTCGGTGTCCCGTGGGCTAGAGGAGGTGTTACTGGGGGGCAAAGAACTGGGGCGTGTGGCTGTGGCCTGGCCTTTGTCTTTCCCCTCTTCCGGCCGGACACTGGCTGCTCCACCCTCTCCGCCATAGAGCTCTTCGTTGCTGTCCTCGCTGGACTCTGTGTCTTCGGAGCCCGAGAGGAGCTCGTCGTCGCGGTACTCCGACACATCCACGCCTCCTCCCTCAGCATGCTCCTTCAGCTTGCCATGGTGCTTCACATGGTAGCGCTGGTTCTGGAAGAACTTGATGATGGTGTGCTTGGGCAGGTCGAGCTGGGCAGACAGTGTGTGGATTGCTTCCTGATCGGGGTACAGACCCACATCCTGGATGAAGCTCTGCAGGATAGCAAGGGCTTCTAGGGAAATCTTTGTACGCGAACGTGGCTTCTTGCTTACACCTCCCCCCGTCTGGGCCCCTTCTTCTCCCCCCATACTGGGCAGAGGGATGGGCAAAGGATCCTCACGAATGGGAGAAGGGTCCTTCAATACCTGGGAGGGCTGTCTGTGCAGTGCCTGCTGACAAATTACAATGATAATAATAATTAGTACAAAAACCAGTTATGGAAACAAGAAATGCAAAACTATACTATAACATGAGTTCATTTCTAATCCTTCGCTAAACAGTTTTAGGAATTTATTAATGGTGTTTGAGAGGCATAATTATGTATGAAATTCAGGTTTAAATGGAATGGTCAGTTTTAAGCAGCCACAAATTCACAGTGTTTGTGCATAAGTATATAAATTTGGATTTGATCATTGTTTTTAGAGTGTCTTATGGAGCAGCTTAAGTGAAATTTGCCGTCGGTGTCTCAGTATGTGGTCTGATTCCTAAAAACCCAGGTTCCCAGGTTTTGTCAGGATATGCTTGATGTAATAATCACACTTATTTTATTCAAGGATTAACTAGCTCTAGTAATTAAGTTATCAGTCTAAGAAGCTTTGTATCAAAGTAAAGTTTTCACTCTATTTCATATCCTTCCACCTTTCAGTCAGTTTATTGTGCTTTTCAGTTCATTAAGGAATGGCCAGTTGCCAGAAAGTGAACCACCTGCAATGGACAGCTGAATGACCAATGGCCAGTTGCCAGAAAGTGAACCACCTGAAGCGGACAGCTGAATGACCAACCCCTATTGTATTATTCTTGTAGCTTAATTCAATCTGGGTGCAAGATTTGGAAACACATCCAAAACAAATTCAGTACAGGTGAGAGTATAGATAAAAGGCTGAAGTTCTGTTTCTCAATACTGGAATATACCAGTTCTGCTTTTTGGTGTGATTCCATTTCCATTTTTTGCATGCTGAAATAAAACAAGCTGAATGTTTCAGCCCTACTCAAAACCAAAACGCCATCAGGAACCATTTCAGAAGAGAACTACTTTCACTGGGGTAATTTGGTTTTAAATTCTATGATTATTTAAACATTGTGAAGTTACATAGTTCATGAGAGCTTTGCAGAAAAAACTTTCTTTTTCTAGAGCTATTTATAAATATTCCTCACTGGAAAAGCGGTTTTCAGTAAATATAGAAAAAAAAAAAAGTTTAATGGCAGTATTTTAAGTACTTAGACCTAATAATTTATTTCTGTTTCAGCTCAGTTTTGGCCAGTGGGACTTCGAGTCTGAAATGAAAAAGATTTCATGTTTGTTAATATTCTGCTCATCTATAGTCTATATATATGTGGAGATCCACAGTTTTTTTTTTAATCCGATGTTAGTTGTGTTGCTCGCTTGTTGGTTTTACCTGCTGCTATATAGATGTTATGTTTTGATTTCTACTAGATTTTTTTCATGTTTGGGTCACTTGGATTTGCCCCTGAAATAAATTTTATCATTTTGTACTTAGTATGTTATTTCATTCACATTTAAATTGTTTTTCTGTTGTTCATGGGAATTTGAATGGAAATCTGCAAGAGTAAATCAGTACAAATCACTGCATTCACAAAAGAGCACGTTTTTATTTTGAAAAATGTATACGCCTCTATATGGTAATGGAGCTATACACATTACAGCCATGATGGTACTATTGCTTTTGCCCTGTTACCTAGATTGCAGCTTTATATATTACATCATCACCTCATGTTCAAGGCCTCAGCCCAGATTAATTGAATTGGTGGAAAAACAACTGGAACAAAATAAATCTTGGCTGGTTCGTTCATGCACGGCACGGTACTGGGAAAATGACTATAGCCAATGAACTGCTGTCAGACATCGATTCTGCGTTTATATATAAATCCATATACAGCATGGCAGCACCCTGCGTTGCCTGCATTTGTAAGAAGTCTGGAGTTTGAGATATTGGGCTTGAGATCGTATTTTTAAATGCAATATAAATTCTGAATTTGAAGTGCTACGGATTACACTGAAATCAACTACTGTTCTTTCAAACAGTTTACAAGAGGAATTTAACATGTCAAAATATAAACTTAGCTTAATTTGGCATGGGGCACATAGAAGGTGATGTCAGGAGGCAGCGGTATAATCAGGGATGCTTCCTGAAAACCAACAAATCCAACCAAACAGGGGCTGCGTATTATTTACTTGCGTGGCGACGTGAAACAGCCGCCTCTTTGCTAATAATAAAGGGAGAGGGAGGCAGGAAGCTGGAAGGTGCATCTCGAAGACTGTCGTCTTGCCCCCGCTGTGTTTATTATAAGGGTGGAGTGGGGGGGCCTCAGCTCTGGTATGCTAGACTATAAATCTGTGGTACATTAAAATTAAAGGTCCCACATAAGGATAATAGTAATTCTTTTTTTCACTTCAATAATGACAGGGTATTTTTCAAATAATACTGAGGTCAGGCCAGACCATGAAATATTTTTTATTTCTCCTACGGCAGCTGTTGGTGCTGTTGGTGCTGGCGTGAGCGAGCCGTGTGTCGGCTTGATATATTTCTCCCTCTCGCTCTTGCACACACACTTTCCTGCCCCATTTATTATCTGTATAATGTGTTTATGAAAGAAGCAGTAGATTGCAGAGGTCTTGTTGAGTATTGAGATGTGACACATTAAAAAAAAAGAAAAGAAAAAAGTGCAGCTTCTTAGTCTTGCTAAATCGGATATCTATCATTTCATTTGAAGCCGTTACCCTTTGTAGTGGGGGCCACACACAGAATCACAGACGCTTATGTATGTGTGCACCCACAGCATAAAAACGAAAGACGATACACCGAAACGTTGTTGAACAGACACAAACATGTGAGGAAATAAAGGCCTCAGACACGTATGTGCTCAGTACTCCTGACTCTCTGGACTCTGTCCCGGAAGAGACCTGCCCCGGCACCAGCAGATCAGGCTCTGGGATTCCTCACGGAACATGAGGAGAACCTTGGATCAATACTCCAGTGGGTGCAGACAGACAGGCCTGCGCTCAGTCAGCGAGTAACCAGGCCTGACCAGTGATTCGGTTTTACTCCCAAAGGTAACTTGTCCTGTAGTATTTCTACAGAGTGTCGGAAGCCAGAAAAGCTGGACCTATTTCTTAGCAACAGGATTATATAATATATATGTCTAAAAAAAAGCTATTTCCAAATTAAGTTGTCATGAAAAAGCCATTAAATGTATCCCTATGTAAGGATACTGGCTCTTGCATTGTTGTCAGTCATTCACACCGCACTGCATTTTAACCACAGTGTACATTTTGGAAAAAGATCTCATAATAAAGTAAGTTACACATTTCTATAAACTATTTTAATGCTTATTAAGGGTATTTTGAGTTTGCCACATTAAAAGGCTATTTATACAATCAAGTAAAAAAAATGTTTTAAAAAAATATGAAAGTATTATAAAATATAAATGGCTTAAGCAATTCTTAATGAGGAATAGTCCTGGTGGGTGTAAAAACAGATTCTGACAGAAAGGAGAGAGACACCATTGCAAAAACATTAAATCACAGATAAATATGTAATGATCTGAAATACACGTTTTAGTGTTCTATGTGACTTCACCTCCAGTGTAAATTGAAGCTAGCTGTTTTTCCATGTTGCTATGTGAGTCACAGTGTGTGTGTGTGTGTGTTTGTGTGTGGGTGGGTATTGGTTTGCATAGATCACATTTGGGGACCAAAATATTGGCAAAACCTGAAACTTCCTTACTTTTGTGGACATTTTTCAGGTCTCCATTTGAACAACCTCAAGGTTAGGGCTGGGTGGGGTTAAGGCTG